AGGGACGGGTGATAGAACAAGAGGAAATGGGTATAAGCTTAGTCAGGGGAGATTCAGGTTGGATGTTAGAAAGCATTTCTTCTCTGAAAGGGTTGTCAGCCACTGGAATAGGCTGCCCAGGGAGGTGGTTGAGTCCCCATCCCTGGTTGCGTCTAAGAATAGGGTGGACGAACTACTTAGGGATATGGTTTAATGGGGATTAGGGACGGTTGGACTGGATGATCTCTAAGGTCTTTTCCAATCTAGAAATCTATGAAATCTATGACTTACCTGTCCTGTTACCAGTGCATTAGTCCCGAGGCAATCTGCCAGCAGACAGCCTGAGGGCTAGTACATCTTCTCCTATCTTAGCCCAAACAAAATCAGAACAAATCACCTTGAGCCATAGTCTTCACTCAGACCTACTCCCTGCCCATGTTTCCAATGAAATAAATCAGGATTGAATTTGACCCATATCAAGAGTAATGCATTCTGTTTTAATTTTCTAATTGAGGAGACAAGGCACAAACACAGCATCCAGCTTCCAACAACAAAAATGCCTGGGATCCCTCTTAGAACTGTTTTTCTGGTTGAGCAGCATTGAGAGCAAACATGTCAGCTGAAATCAGCATCAACTCGTCAGTTGACAACCTTGCTCAGAGTCCAGTTGGGTCTTGGTCTGGGTGCATCCCCCAAACAGAGCAGCCCCTATAGGTGTAGTTGCCTCAGCCTGGAGTCTACAAGGGCAAGTTTGCAAGCTCTGAGGGGCCTTGGGACTCCATAACAAACAAAGGATCCCAACGTGTTCTTAATTCCTTCTTTTGCAAAATGGATATCTCCAAATTCACTTGTTGTAGTATTAATTTAGGGACCACAGAAACAAGACACGACATGCTTCTGGCCCTCAAAATGTCCATTTTCCTCAGAAAGGCAGGTAGAAACATACTGAATATTTACCGCACTGGAAAACTCATCACGGGGGAGGCTTTTCCAGCACAGCTAGGCTTAGCTCTTCTTGTCATTAACTCTTATGTGGGAAAATGCCCCAGATTTTAACTGCAACAAGGGGAAAAATAAGGCTTTTAAAAATTCATTCAAGCACACCAATGTTTCATTATACCCTCTTTGCAGAGCAGATGGCAAGATGAGGCTATACCCCCTGGGCCTGCTTCAGGGAGCTAACACAAATGCTCTTCTCACTACAGATCTCAGATGATGGTGTCATCATTTCACTCGGGGATTTGGGTCAAAAGGCTTTACACTCAAATCTGTTTTTTATATAGTACAAGTGCACCCAGACTAGACCCTAACGGATAAGCAGTGGGGAGGCTAGTGCACAGCACAGAGCCCTCTCAGGCACTTCCAGGTCGCTGGTTTACACTGGCACATTTACAGACTGAATCTTTCTAATCCAATTAAAATCTCATCTGAGCTGTCAATACAGATGTAGCCTGTTTTATTTTAGTGTCTCGTAGAACACGCATTAATCCAGACCTATGGATAAAGCAGCCCTTCTAGGCAAATTCTGCGTTCTGTCAGCCCGGTTTCTAGCACAGTTTCTCTCACTCATAAAGCCCTTACTGCTCTCATGTTATCTGCTACCCAGGAACTCCTATGGACATGCATCACCATCCTATCTGAGTGCTTTATAAAAACGTGCAGTATACATCATTAACCTTGTGAAAAATAGCACTCTTCTCTCCCAGCTCACTTCTCATGTAATGATGGCTAAGGTACTGTCATTAAATATAAGGATGTGAATATGATCTCTTTTCATTTCAGTGGCTTCATCTGTTTGAGATGGATATGCCAGTTACAGGTTGTCAGCACATTTAATAAGTTATAGCATAGGCCAACAACTCACAAACTGCTGGGGCCAAAAATTTTTACAGATCATCACGTATACTTGTCATTAAATTTTGCACCAAAAACATTATAAATCATGCTGTTTAACAGACTTCCATAAGGCATCTGTGACCTGTTGTGCCACAAGCGCATGGGACATCAGTATTTGCCAAGCGTAAAACAAAAAGTCAAAAGCACCCTTAATACCACCACAAACTCTCAAATTCCTCACAGAAACTGGTACCCTCTCAGCAAGCAAAAGCCCAGCAGCAACTAAAACAGGTCTTTCGCTATGACCCAAAGGTAAACAAGTTCAAGTTTTAGCAAGTCAAGTTCAGGAGGAAAACAAATCTGTTGGTGACATCTTCAGAAAGGCTGGATTGAACGCTTCAATGAATCTTGGTATTGGAGAAAGGTGAACTTTGATACAGCAATTACAGCTTTGCATGTGAAAACCAACACTTAAGCAGCATCCAGAAATAAACTGACAGCAGAGTAGATTACAAATTACACTCTTACTAGTGAGAGATACCTGTCACCAACCAGAATTCTCCAGTCAGTCAGCTGCGCTTTCCGAGAGGAATTCAAGTAGTCTCACGTAAAAGGCAAACTTCTGCTGCACACTCTGTTCTTTCCGAAACAGCTGCAAATCCTATTGACTCCTTCCCACACCACTGCCACAGAATACTGCAAATGCTAAAAAATTGTCATGGGTGCTAGGGAAGGTAGAAGCAGTTAATGGAAAAGAAACGTTGTGCGAAGAATTTGACACTGTCTTACGTGACATCCTTGTCTCTAACTTGGAGACACAGATTTGTCGGATGAACCACTCGATGGATAAGGAATTGGCTGGATGGTTGCACTCAGAGAGTTGTGGTCAACAGCTACATGTCCAAGCGGAGACCAGTGACGAGTGGTGTTGCTCAGGGATCAGTACTGGGGCCAGTGCTATTTAACATCTTTGTCGGTGACATGAACAGTGGGATCAAGTGCACCCTCAGCAAGTTTGCAGATGGCACCAAGCTGTGTGGTGTTGTGGACATGCTAGAGGGAAGGGATGCCATCCAGAGGGACCTTGACAAGCTTGAGAGGTGGGCCTGTGCGAACCTCATGAAGCTCAACGAGACCAAGTGCAAGGTGTCCTGCACCTGGGTTGAGGCAATCCCAAGCACAAATAAAGGCTGGGTGGAGAATGGATTGAGAGCAGCCCTGAGGAGGAGGACTTGGGGGTGTTGGTTGATGAGAAGCTCAACATAAGCCGGCAACATGCACTTGCAGCCCAGAAAGCCAACTGTATGCTGGGCTGCATCAAAAGAAGCGTGGCCAGCAGGTCGAGGGAGGTGATTCTGCCCCTCTCCTCTGCTCTTGTGAGACCACCACCTGGAATACTACGTTGAGGTATAGAGCTCTAAACATAAGAGGGACATGGACCTGTTGGAGCGAGTCCAGAGGAGGGCCAGGAAGACGATCCGAGAGCTGGAGAACCTCTCCTACGAAGACAGGCTGAGAGAGCTGGGGTTGTTCACTCTGGAGAAGAAAAGGCTCTGGGGAGACCTTCTAGCAGCCTTCCAGTACCTAAAGAGAGCCTGCAAGAAAGCTGGAGAGGGACTTTTTATAAGGGTGTATAGCTTTAAACTGAAAGAGGGTAGATTTAGATTAGACATAAGGAAGAAATTGTTCCTTCTGAGGGTGGTTAGGCAGTGGCACAGGTTGCCCAGAGAAGTTGTGGATGCCCCATCCCTGGAAGTGTTCAAAGCCATGCTAGATGAGCCTTTGAGAAACCTGGTGTAGTGGAAGGTGTCCCTGCCTATGGCAGAGGGGTTGGAACTAGATGACCTTTAAGGTACCTTCCAATCCAAACCATTCTATGATTCTATAAATCCATACAAATTTACTACGTACACAGAAAGCAACTTCGGCTGAGGAAGTCCTTGAGCTGAAAATTGTTAATGGGTTGGAGAGTATTCTGGAAAAGATGACCCTATGGCAACATCTTACATTCTTCCCTAGGCATCTGCTTAGGAGCCCATTTTGAAATAGGAGCCTGGGCTATGTTGTCAGACCATTAATCCAACAAACTACAGCTGTCCATATGTTTGGTATGACATATTACGGTTGCCCATATGTTAACCTCCATTTGCATACCCAAATTACATGTTATTGGTAATTTGGTTATTTTCATTGCCATAGCACTTTGAAACCACGGCGATAGACAAGAACTGACTGGACCAATGCTATAAGCGCAATGTAGAACATTACTGAAAAACTCCTTTAATTCTGAGATCAAATATTTCCTGTTCTGTTCCTCATTTCAATAGCACCACTCAGGCATATGTACACTTACAGACACCTCACTTTACATAACCTCCAATCTCAAAGTGATAATGATATGGCTAATCAACTGCATCAAACGGGCATCATCTTTACCATGCAGATTACAAAACAGCACAGCCTTATGATCTCTGCCTCTGTTTTGTATGCGCGCCGAGAAAGAGGGCAAAGACAGCAAAGTTATTTGATGCCAGGCATGAATAGCAACTGCCTGCTACTGGAATCCGCAACATTCACCACAAAAGCAAACAACAAAGTTCATATGAAATAACTGCTTCCCTTCCTATTTATGTCTGTTGCTGCAATAGCACCATTTCATGGTTCAAAGACAGCTGGCAGAAGAAACATAATTAGTGTGGTCCCCTGATTCTTATACCTCACCAGCAGTATGTTACCGATCAACAGAACAGTATAGTCCTTATTTCAGAGCAATAAGGACTCTGAAAAAAGTTTGCAATAACATGCAAACTTTTAAGATTTTCCACTGTATTATACTATAGAGCAGATTTTATCTCAAATTTCTTAACAAGAAATTGACTGTCAGGGATTCATTCTCCAGAGAATTTATGAGGTTCCTTCTAACGTGCCCAATCCTATAGCTGGAGAATTGCACAGTGCTGTGAGAGTAAATCAGCATATGTAAGCATTTTGTTGTACTTATACCCACTGCCACTCTCATCTGTCCTGTCACTTGCTGCCTTTCTCCCACCAAGGAATTGGTCACAAAAGAATGAAAAAAACCCAAAAGCTTAAACAGAAGTTTATTTCCTATCCCTAATAAGTTCCTTAAATCCCTTTACTCCTCCTTTGAAGAAGGAGTTCCAGTAAATTTTACTTGAACTTACCACAAGTTCGGAGAATCTGGCATTGAGCTCCTCTGGTGGTGGAATTGGGACAGAAAACTCAAGGAACTGGAGGGGGTTATTGTCCTTGAGGTTGATTTCAGGGAGGTCGCTACCCCCAAAACAACAAAGAAACCCCAACGCATGACGATTCCTCTTCCGGGGGGCCATGATCATGGTGTATGATGCTATCTTCTGATCATGTTCTGCAGGAAGAAAAAAAAAAAAACACAATAGACATTAAATGATAAACAAGACTGTTGGATCTGGGCAGCTGTCTGCATTTACAATGGTTATCACTGCTGTAACAGCTGGAAGAGGACAGAAGGGTCTGAGACACAAAAGAGAGAAACAAACACCCAAGCTAGATGAGGTAGCTAAGCTTTAATACGGTATTAACATGTTCTTGTATGGCAGTGTAGAATCAGTTCTTTCAAGGTTTCTCAAAAGGATTTACAAACTCAGTGTGAGATTTCCCAGCAGGTAGATTTATCAGTAAAGCTCAGTAGCCAAGTTTGAATGCCATCACTGAATGCCAGTATTGGCCTTTCTCTCACTACTATAGTAAAGGAACCAAAGTATCAGAAGCAAAAAGCATGTACTGGAGAATTTACCCAGAATAAATGGAAGATCCTGCAAAGGTATCTCATTTGGTCAAAAGAAACTGAACAATGAAACAGAAATCAATTTTCCATCACTCCAGAGCCAGGCCATCAACCTTTATGGACAGGACTATCACAGTAGGACCATTTTGTCTATCACGTTTTCAAACACATGTAACTAGTTTGGGCTGCTTTATGTATCCAGGGGATAAACTGCGCAGTGCTAACGCATGCTTTCAGATTTACATTTGAGCTGTCAGATCCCATCCTGACAGGACCCAGGCTCGAGGAGCTTTGGTATGAGGAGCATAAAGGGAGGCAAAAGGAGGCTTGAAGAAGGAGCTGGGAAGCAACTGATTTCACCACACAACACCGTTTGTGAGCGGCCCATCCAAACATGAAGTCTCCTGCCAGCAGTTTGAAAGGAGGGATCTGTGCAGTTCACAGAGAGCCGCATACTTTGCCCTTTTAAGGGACTTGTTGTTTGACAGCTCAGGGGCTTAATTGTGTTATATTTTTTAAGGACTTCACTTTTTCACTTAATCTGCAGGATAAGCCATATCCTTAGAGAGTAAATAATTAAAGCTTGCTGTGAAGCCCAGCTCCCTGGGCATGGGGCAAGGGAGCAGGGAGGGAGGTGGCAGGTGAACTGAACTGCTGGATGCTGGACGCTGTATGAGCAGCAGCACAGCTGAGCTTTGTCATCAGAGCAGCTGCTGCCCTAACCTGCCCCACAATGCTTTGGTCTGTTTGCTTGCCAGAACAAGGCTGCTTTGAGCTCTCATAAAGTCTAAGTAGTTGTGCTAGGAAAAGCACCTTTAGGACAGCAGTTGCATAGTGGGACTTAACATACTGCACAAAGCCAGAAGCTCTCCAGGGACTTTGTGCTTAGAAATCAGCATGCCCACTTAAGAAAAAACTAAGCAAAAAAACCCAAACGAACAAAAAAATAAACCTCAAACCACTCAAACCTCCACCCTTGTGGCACTACATGCTTGGCAGGAATCACCTGCCCTACTTTGTGCTGGAATTAATTTATTTAGCACCTCCTTTTATGCACTGAAGAGGCATCAACTGCAACTCTCATGCAGCTGAAAGGAAAGTGAGCTGGTACCAGGCATGCCATGTCTTCCGGCATGCCTGCTTTCCTTTGCTCTCCATGTCAGCTCTGCAAGAGGTGGTATATCTCAGCAGGAGTCACTAGGGCAGGGTGATGCTCATTTCAGAAGTACCTTTATAAGATCACTGGATTCTCAGTAGGAGATGCCAAAGGCTAACTTAACCCTGGAACCGATCTCTGACACCGGTTCAGTCAGCAAAACCAAAATACCCTCAAATCCAGCAGAATGATGTGCATGGTAACTTCTGTTTCCTCTCAGTGGTGGAGGCTGAAGAGATGCAGTTCTTAAAAGATTTCTCAAGAGAGCCTCAGAAGAAGCTGAACTTGTCTACCACAGACCACCTTCTCAGGAACTACTCTCAGCGCAATGTCCTTTATGATAATCTGGTCATGGATGATGTTAGAAATCATTTGTTTGACAAAACCTTGTTTTGGAAGGAACTCAAATCAATGAACCAAACCTGATTTACATACAATATAACTATATTTGCATCGATTCAGTTGTAACCAAGTTCTGGCCAACTGTCTAGAGGCTTCCTCATTAACATTCAACCCAGCATTCTCTAGGGCATGGACAATAAATCCTCCTTGGAAAAATTGGCTGAGATGTTGAAGTGATAGAACCATAACATCTTCCTTTATGAGCTCAGGTCAAGAGTTCGGTAAGCACTCCTCCAAAAGAAGCACCTTACCAGGAAATGAGTTCTATGTGAATAGATATGAAGGCCAACATTTTCTACAGGGTAAGCACTGCCCTGGTCAAGGCACCACAGTTTGTCCTGTACTGATATTTCATTACTCAACTTTCATCTTAAGCAAGTTCACTTAAGAGGTCAACAGTCATTCTCCAGGTTGTCTTCATCCATAATGCTGAAAAATACACAAACTAGTGCTTGTTCCTGTGGTGTTTTTACAAAATCAGCATCTGTTCCTTGGGATCCAACCTTGAGAAACTCGGCAAAACTATACTCTGCAAAAGCACACCGAGCTCACATGAACAATAACCTTGTATTGCCTCACTTTCACAAAGCATCATTCCATTGCCCAACTCATACTCTTAACACTGGCATTTTTCAGGTCCATCTACAAAAGGCATGCAGGAAGTCATACTGACACAGAGGGGTAAAATGGTACTTTTTTATTGCTGCAACACTGTAACTGTGCATAGGTTAACTGTACAGATACTTTAAAAATAATAACGATTGAGGACTGCTAGAGAGGAATCCAGCACAGATATTTCAGATTTGAATCAATGAATGAATGAATGAATTATATTTCTAAGTGGGAGTACTGCCTTTCTAAAGATTAAGCCTGACAGTCACAGGATGCTGAGGGGCTTTTACTTAAGTTGCACTGTATGCTATTTAAGAATTAATTACATCTCCTTGATTTTTGTTGATGGACATAGTTTTAAACAAAATAAACATTTTCTAATAGCCTCCAAGTTAGTAATCTTTTCCTTTTCTTTCTCTCTTTTTTGTCTTTTCTTTGTCAAGAACAAAATCTGGGGAAAATATCCTTCTGAAGGACAAGGAGGGGGACGAGGGGAGGCAACAAAGAAAATGAAGAAAAGAGCATCTTTCATTTTTCTGAGTGCTAATTGATAACGAAGCTGTCATAAAAATTTATGAAAATAACAAAAGGTAGGGTTTCTTATTCTAATAAAAGCTCTATTGCCTTTCAACTCCTTGCAAGTAAAGTTACTGTAAAAATGAAACATGCCATTATCTATCTCTATATACATCTCCAGTGAGAATCAATGGGAAATCTCTCTCTGGAGAGAATCCCACTATTACACATAACTGCCTCCCACAGCTCTTCTCAATTGTACTGTTTTACCCTTTTGCACAATACAAACAAGTTGCCGTCATTTCAACAGCTAAACCACACACCCGCTCCTCATAGCGATCCCCCTCCTGCTTCCCAGCCCCATCTGTGGTTCAGCTCAGGTCAGGAGTCACACTCTGGAACTTTGCCCAAGGTCTAATTATAACAACGTCCTCTTCCTCTGACAGGGCGTACGTGTTCATGTCTAAACCATTTGGCCCAGTGACCAAACATAATTAAGCTAATGCAATTTTTCCAAGTCTTATCAGAAGGTTTAGCCACATGGGATGGAATCCATGCTAGCTGCACACGAGGATCCTCTTTCAATTGCATGTGCTAAATTCAGTCTTAAGCTCTTCTTTGTTCTTGCCTCAGAAATTATAATTTTCATGCCAACATATCCTAAATAAGCAACGTTCCACAAACAGTAAGGCACCTGAAACAACTGCTATGCCAGCAGCTCTCCTGTGCAAGAGAGCTGATTATCAGAGTTTTTACCTCACTGTCCTGTCCTTCACCACAGTGAACAGCCAGAGCACAGCTATGACTGAAATAGAGAAAATTACTTTTGTATCATCACCTTTGGAAAAGCGGAAGAAAGAGAGAGAACTCTGTGAGTTAACTATACACACACAGTCCTACAAAACCAGTTTGCAACATAGGGAAGCATTAACAGCAAACACTGATGTGCTCACTGCCCGAGCTGAATCTCCACTGATCATCAACAGACATGCAATGTCGGTGGATGTAGCCACAGCTCTCACTTGAGTGGGAAGCACAGGACCATATGTACGATGCAGAATCACTGTCCACACTGCTTTATGTTAACAGGAGAGGAAACAACATAAATTACTTCAATTTCCCCATACAGCTCTATCTTTATGGCAGGATAAAACATATAAATGTGATGTATTTCCATAGAAGCAGAAAGAAACCTGAATTTAAATTGGTTTGGAACATAAGCCAACTCACCTCGTATCCCTAAATCTAAGTTAAATCTCCATGGGTTTGTGCTATTAAATAATAAACCACCAGAACTTCATGGTATTATATTTCTAATGATGAAATGGAGAAAATAAGCATAATGCTCAAAATTGTCAAAATATACACATTAGATAAAGCTAAAGAGCTTCATAATGATCCTATGCTCAGTTCTCTGGACAACATTGCTTCTCCAGTACACAGATAGTGAAACTATGAGCTTCGCAGCATGTCCCAATTACCATGGGAATTTTCCATGTATGTCACATGTAATGTGACAGATGTCAGATGCAATATAAGACAATTGCTGCATGGAGGATGGGGAAAGGGGGCAGGTGAGAAATACATTTGTTCCATTTTCAGTAGTAAACTAACACCTTTGGTTTGGATGTGTCACAAGGAGTTTCCTGGTCTCCAGGGCACAAACCAGCAACAAAATAACCAATTATTTAAAATCCACA